CTTCGACCTGAAAAATCAGGGGTTAGGATTTGCACCGGGTGGAAAGAAACTTGCTATCGCAAGAGTAACTCCAGCTAGCTTCGCTAGCTTTCGTGACAATGCTATGAAACCGAAGATTACTTGTCGTGAAATCGATGACAATGTTCTCAGCATGACATCCACATCCTCATTCCATCACAAACCCCCCCACCCCCCCCACCCCATTTTAATCACACGACTAATCGATGACAATGTTATGAAACCGATGACAATGCTATGAAACCGAAGATAATGTGGTGAAACCGATGACAATGCTATGAAACCGAAGATTACTTGTCGTGAAAACGATGACAATGTTCTCATCCCACCCCAACCCAACCCCCCCACCTTTCACGTAGCATCAACTTCAGATAGCAAGTGCAAACGAACGTCAATATGCCCCATCCCCCCCCACCCCAACCCCCCCACCTTTCACGTCGCATCAACTTCAAAAATCGCAGTAGTCACACGTTCGGTTTTACACCCGTAGGCATAAACATGCTGCTTCCATCATCTCTAAAAATCTCCAACTCCGTATCACTGATCATTTCGTTGAGAAAGATTCTATACCTCCCCCAGAAATCATGGATCCCATAGTGTCACAATGTGTCATCGTTTTCATGGTCTTTTCATTGTCTTTTCAATGTTTCATCACTCCACTCCTCGCATCTCTCTACACGAAAAGACAACAACATGTACACCTCTCTCAGCAGTCGTACACGTCGCCCCCACCCGGAGTACCACGCGGTACCAAACGGTCGTCGGTCCCTCAGCGAAGCTGCCCCAACGCTGGAGGATCTCCGGCTGGCGGAACATGTGCCGGATCCAGAGCGGCGTGCACTTCTGCTGGTTCGCCACATGACTCAGAACGAGAGGTTCCAGGCAATGCAGCAAGGCGTTCATTCGAAGGCAAAGTCCGATTGAGGTGCAACAGAAATGCCCTTTTGCTTCCCGGTTTGGGAGATTTGGGGCAGTGGGTGCTAGTGTAGAACCCCAGGTGCTTGCGGGTATCTCCAGCAAGTCGGACCAGCAGGTATGTGTGACCATGTCTTCTGTTGGGTCTTCGGAACGTCCTTGAAACACAATTTGGTCATTCACATCTTGCCCTACCACTTTTTAGTGGAGCACACCACCCCTGGAACCTATGACAGGTTTGGAAACTCGCCTTCACCCAAAAGGATGTTGGCGAACCTTTTACTTTTCTTGATCCAAAAAGGGCTGTGTCCAGGTCAGCCACCATACAGTGTATGATGTTAGTGATGGTATATATAAACACACTGTGGTTTACACTGAAAATGCTATAACTGCTTAGAACTTAGACTGAGCTATGCAGCAAAGTCTTTCGACCTGACCAGCTGGACGGAGAAAACGTCAGGTGGAGGGCAAAGGATCACATGAAGAGATGGCGATCAAACGGGTTGTCACAAAGACGAACGAACAAACGCACGAACGAACTGCGAAGCTCTAAGGATCTTCCACCGGTGCAACCTACAGTAAACAAACCAAAAAAAACCAACCAACCAACCAACCAAACAAACAACCAACCAACCAAACAAACAGGAATTCATGCGGCCCAACATTGGGTCTAGCCTTCCTTTAATTGTTGTTTCTTTCAGCCGGCATTCTCGGGTCACACCGAGATCTCTTCCGTCGTCGCACCAACCGTCGGGTCGAGCGAAGAACTCGAGCAGAACACGACGTTGCTCTGTGAAGTAAACCATAAGTGAACCTGTCGAAGCAGTCAATATAGCAGTCAAGAGTAGTGTTGACATGTGTTGACTGCTATAGTATGTTGACTGCTTCGGTAGGTTCACTATATCGTTCACTTCACAGAATAGGTTCACAGGTCGACAAACCTCTTTCGACATGGTTCATTCACCAAGAACATGTTCAGCGGAGGGAAGGGACTAGCTCTATGGACAAATGATTTCCAAACATTGGAAGAAGTATGACGAAGTCTCAATTCTTCTCCATTTCCTCCAACAACACGTCCCCCGGACTTCTCCCCAGGGACGAGCCGGCTCGTCCTCCCATAGTCCACGGTTCTTCCCTGCCGTTTGGCTCGTGCGTGCCACGTGCCATGTGCGACGTGACGTGCTCCGTCCGAGGGGCTCCAGGGCCTCGTGGGTCCCCAACATCACCTGAGATCGGGGACCCGTGCCGACGTGTCGACCTTGCAGAAACCCATAGAAAGGACGTATTTCAGGTGGGTTTTTGTTGGGTATGGTTGGGTTTCAGAGGGACTTGACAAGCGGAAACTGTGTAGGTGTTTCAAACAAATAGCAGAAACCATCATAAAGCTTTATTATAGCCCCAATCCCAGAGTCTGAAAGAGACATGGTCGACAGTTTTGAAAGGTGGCTCAGTTCTTCCAAATCAACAGCTCTACACCCTTATAACACTATCAATATAACTATCAATAGTTGGATGATAACTGCCTCATTTAGACGGAATCTGCATCTGACCGATCCCTCACATTGATGGATCAACCAAATCCTTCCTTCGACGAACCATGCGAACCGTCACTCCACTGGCCTCGGAGCGGCCTCTCGCGCTCTCGGAACTCTTGGAACCGGTCGGACGAGTTGCAAAGAAGAGCATGGATGCTGCGACGGCGCCTGAAACTCCAGTTCGCACCCGCACCCGGACCCTTCGGAGGTCGCCGGCAGTCCGATCTGAAGGTTGTAATGGTTAGGGTCTTGAATCCTGGTTTTTTCCAAGCAGGGAGCCCAATGGTGACCCAATGTGATACCGGGTTTGGTATGGTTCGGCGAAATCGAGCTGATGAAGTCAAGCAAGCAAGCAAAATACGCAGCATTCTTAAGTTAAAAGAAACATCGGTGTCGGCACACATGTATGCCCCTGACAAACCGACCTCCCTCCAAAAACAAGGACAAAGTTTATAGAGTGCTATAAAGAGGACCCTTCCCGCAAATGATTGCTCGCTTGCTCTTTATAGCCCACCTCGAATTGCCAAATCGTGAAGGCAAATGTCTAATGTGAACATCACTGCAGTGAAAGGACCACAAGTACAGTAGCTAAACTGTCACTGGCTTCAAACTTCCAGTTGTCATCACAATGAATCTAACCTTAAAGGATTCTAACGGCTCTCCAACGAAGCTCCAGCAAACAAACCCCAATCAAGCCTCCACGCTCCCCCAACAGCTCTCCCAACAGCTCGCGCTCGCCTACTTCGGTGAGATAGTAGCGATCCAGCACCAAACCCAGCACACAGGTTACCAAGGCCAAGGCAACAGGTAACAGATATTCCTCGGCAAAAAACACGTGAATGTCTGCGGATTTGCTCCCGAGCCTCATTCTATTCAAATCACATGCAAAAAACATCCAAACACACACATTCCTTGCTGGTTTCAGGTCCCTGATCCTGATCACGCCCTGCCTTTTTGCTCACCTATTGAACCAAGTTCTGGCCCAGTTCGCAGCCAAGGCTCTAACCAGTGGAAGATCGTGCAGCACAAGACACATAAGGATCCTCCGGCCGAGCGACGAGCTCATGCGGGATCGGCGCCGACTTCGTGAGACGGCATACTTTTTGGAGCGCTGGAGACGGGACCACTTGTCCTGTTCTGAAACTAAGAAAAACAATCCCGAACAAATCCCTTGGGAATCCAGTTCTGTTTTGGAAATCCAGTGAACCCAATCCAGTGTGGAGCTTTCCTGTTCTGAGGCCCTTCTTGGATGAGCAGTCTCAGACACCTCCTCATGAGATACTTCCTTCCTTTGGGGGGCACACACTTACACATCCAAGCCTTTCAAAAATCGATCCACTGTCAAGCTTGGATGTGCCAGAAAGACATCAAGCTCTTAAAGGCAATAGAACAAGATTTATATAACAAATCATAACCCTAGGAATCCCTAAGATACAACAAAAACACTGGCACAATTATAGATAATTATAATATATATATCATATTATATCATATATTTTCTAATTGTATTCTTATCTTGGAAGACACAATCATCCGATGTCTTTTGCATCAAACATATCTGCTTAACTCGCACCCACCGAGGAAGGCGGCCGTTGGTTCCAAGGCACGTGCTTCCGCCTCCATGGAAAGGAACTGCGTTCCTCGGAGACGTCGTAGATCGGTAGACCCGTTGCCGGAGGTGTGAAGTCTTAGGGTCTTAGAGCTGAGGAGAACTCCAGGGTGTTCTGGGATTGAGCTACGACTGAGATGGGCGAATCTGGGTTGACCGATTGTAAATCAGAATTGACCAAATCCCTTGGGAATCTTTGGGATGAGTGATGATGAGTGGGATGCCAAGGTTCACCCCACCCAGCATTTTGTCCTCGGACTCAGCTTTCATAGAAGATGGCCAGATCTGACCCATAGTACCTTGTATTCCGAGAACAAACGAAACAAATCCCTGAAGCCCACCGGTTGAACGCTGAAGACGACCGCTGCTCTCCGCTTGAAGACCCCTGCGGCATCCACACCAAGGTGCCATCACCTGTCATCCACACCGTCTCCGTCTCGATGTGGATACCTACAATGGCCCGATGAGAACGGCTTCAGAGCCTGCAGGTGCTACATGCGGGGCTCATACCTCTTGATGTGCGTTGAATTCACAGGAACATGGAGGTTGCAGTTTGGTTTTAGTCAAAAGCTGAAGAGCTTCAGTGTCTTTTGATGAAACACTCACGACTTTTTTCATGACCAAGCCAGGATTTTCTCAGAATATCAAGAACAAGTAGTCATTCAAGAATCGAGTCGCATCAAACTGGAGCAAACACGCGTGAAAAATCCCACCTGTCTTCACCATCTGCTCTGCCCTATCTGTTTCCACTCCCCCAAAACGCCAGGCCCAGCGCGCCTGAGCTTCCCGAACGTGCGAAGGTCACACGGTCCTTGGCCGCACGCCAGGCCCAGCGAAAGCGGGAGATCTGCGCGTGGCACGGCGGTTCCGACGAAGAGGTCGAGGTCGGACGTGACCAGGTCGGCGCGAATGTCTTGGCATGGTCATCGATCTTGTGTTCAAGTCTTTCTTTTTGTTGCCTTGTTTCAGCAAGATCGGTGGTACTGCCGGTCTAGCTCGTAGCCTGGACTCCCGATCAGGAAACACGACACCGGACACGTATAGGAGATCACATGTCATGACTCCCATGGAGAAGAAGAGATGCTTCCAATCAGATGCTTGGTGATCTTGTGTATCTCCCCAATCCAAGTCAATTCCCCTCCCTACCATGGCCCGATCTCATATGCCCGATCCTGATCCCAACCCGATCCGAGCGCAAGCAAAATGGCCCACCAGCCTTGAGCCACGCTTCCCCAAAGATGAAGAGGAAGTAGAAGCAGAAGATATGAAAGCAACCAATCGCCATACACACCTGCGATGGACCAACTAATCTTGACTCAATGAAAAAAAACACCAGGTTTCCCCCCCCCGCAACCAGAATGGGGCTCAAATCCCGTCAACTCCAAAAAAAACATGATTCTCATGGTATACTAGTGGATGGTAGTGGTTGCGTCGATGGTGTTCCAAAAGCTTGTCTTGTTTACTCGTCCGGGAGTGACGTCCCTGCCTCGCACACCACGCTCCCGTGCATGGGAGTGTCGTAGACCAAGATGAACAAAAGGATTGGTACCAAGTCCAGACTCACGTAGACTCAGCATGCGAAGAAGCTGAATGTCGAGTGAGTTGATGTCCCTCTGAAGATGGGGTCGATTGGCTAACCGTGTGATAGGGTTCGATTCGCTCCCATGACGTGGTGCTTCACGTGGGAGCATCCCGTCTAGTATCAAAAGACTCCTTAGAAAAAAAAACATGTTTGAGACAAAAAACTCATAGTGCATACATGCAAATACAATGGTTGACAATATTGGACAATCGTTCCATCCGAAAATTCGGCGTTGCTGGATCTGATCTGCCTGGTGTTCGTTCAGCCGAAAAGACGTGTAGAGATTCCACCAAAGAGATTGAGTCTAAAGGCCATCATGGTTCAACGACCCAAAGCAAACTCTAAAAAGCTCTGTCCCTACCCTTTGGGCAGAAACGCGGCCTAAATTTAGTTATACACTTATAGCACACTGACTCAGTCCCGTCGCATTTAATCATGTCCTGCAACACTCTCAAATGAGACGCTGCTGTATAGATTTGTTTGATCTCTCTCTCTCTGGCTGATGGGTCTCGTGAGGCTTCCAAACAGGGCACCAAGTAGCAAGACCGACGACCCAAGGCGCCCGTAGCGCATCCTTCCCACGAACCCGACCGAGGAACGAAACACTTGCACGATGATATCCATGGCCTTGGCAAGCATCAAGCCTCAAAGGCCTCGCCTCTAAGCCTAGGGGCTGCCCTAAGCCTGGGGCTCCTGGCCGCCCCTCCCTTTTGGTTCGGTGGTTGGGGTGGGAACCACTTTCCGAGGATATGGTCGGGATCAACAGGGCGACATTTGTGGGGATCTTGCAGGTTTGAATGACTTTGAGATGTCTGACAAGTTGGGGTTCCTCTTCTTTTGAGTGAGACGATTGAGCCCTGTATTCCTTTTGACTTTGACCTTTAGATGGACGATGGACTTTGAGGTGGCTGGATGTATCTTTTAACGTTGCAAGTGTCAACAGTGTAAGGTTTAGATGTCCAGTTGGGTTCGGGGTGTTATGTGGGAGGCGAACCTATATTAATTAAATGAAAGACTCGACTGTCTTGTAGTCCCAGCACTTAGGAATCCTCTCGACTTTCCATCACCGCCTCCAAAACTCCCATTCAAAATCCTCACCAACTCACCACCTTGGCCACCGCACCGTTCACGCGGACCACGCGGACCGGGTCCAGCCGCGTCAGGACTGGGTGGAACCCCCGTCCACGCGAGTCACGTGCGAGTCCAAGCGCTTCCGGTTCAAAGACGGGCTGACCTTCTGGCACTTGTTGAGGCAAACGGACCAACTCTGAATGTACAACCTCGGCGACTCGCGGAGAGGCTGAATTGAGCGAGGAGGAGGACCACTGGTCCGATGCGATCCAAAGTGGAAGCTCAAAACAAAAGGATCGACTGACACAAACTCAACGATGAGCTGGCAGCGTTTATATGCTTTCTATCCTGGATTCCCCTTGCTAATTGCATTCGTGAATACAATTACGACGTTATACTCAATACAATTCGATTGAACATGATTGAAGCGAAGCCTGGAACAATAATTACCATGAGTCATCAAAAAGGCACTGATCTTTGCACACCTTGCACCAGATATTCGACCACGAAGCTGTCCGATGGCCAACTCCTTCCATGCGTCACCCACCCAAAGCCGGCGATAAGCCTGAAGCAAGAGCGAATACGGGTGTCACAATGGTTCCCAAAGGCTTGGGATGGTTCAGTCAGTGGACAATGCAGAATTCTAGAGAAAAAAAACGGTCCACAGACGTTGAGGATTGCGATTTCACCTGCTATTGAAGGGATGTCCAATATGTCCACATGAAAAACCCCAGATCTTCACCTCACCTATTTCTCACCAAACGATTTACACCAGATTCCGCCACTTTTTTTTTTTCTGTCACATCGCTCCGGCTCACGGAGACCCGGGAACCGGCGACCGTCGCACCGCTTCGGCACCTCGAAGGCGTCGGGCCTCCAGGCATCCACGCACCTGGCGGATGGGACCGGACGGGAGGATGGCGAGTGCAAGGGCAGCAGCCCGTGATGTTTGGGGTTCGCTCAACAAGGGGGCCCCTTCTTGAGATATCATGAGTTATGACCACCAAGTCGGATTTCTAGAAGGACCCGGTGGGCACCTGATGTCGATGTGTTTTACTAGAAGGTACTTTGCCTGCACCGCATCCTCTCCGAGCCCCAGCAAATAAGCTCCCTCGTTCGTCCGCGCGGCCGCACCACCGGGCCGACGAGCGCCACCCAAACGCCGCCCGAGACGCAAGAGGTAAGTGAAGCGCATGACATCCCCCGTGACGCTCATCAGGATGTAAGACCTGATGGCAGTCGGTGATGGCAGTCGGTGTCACGTAACCTCCAGGAGGGCAAACCGGGCAGTGTGAACCCAAGATCATTCATGCGCCAGGGATCCACATACCTTCTCATAAGGTACTTGGGCCCTAGGGATGGTGCGGAAAACTGGAAGGCTCTGGAAGGAGTCTGAGATCGGACAGGTTGGATCGGCCACGGGAAAGAGTGAGGGTGACGGGTG